ACAAAAGCACGTAAAACATGTGTCACTTGACCCACTAAGCAATGAGATATTATTTCTGCCACGTTTTAGTTGAGCTATACTCCATTATACACCATTGTACATAGCATTAAACACCAATGATGAATATAATTGTCTCATCGCTTAGTAGGAAAGATGACCATCAGGCCCGTGTAACATACTGTAATGTGCATCCTTGTAACGGTGTCTACTTTGTCCACAGTGCCTGAAAACCGAGGCTTATAAGGCCGAAGTGCACTCTGAGTTCGGTAAACTGCTGCGTGACCTGAACAAATCAGATGCTCCGTACGCCCTCAGCGTTGCCAACAGACTGTACGGAGAGCAGTCCTACCAGTTTGTTGAGGTGTGTGTTCTTTTATTCAGCATGCAAATGTGGGTATTCACCAACAGGGCTTGGTTTGGCTAGAATGACTGAGAAAAGCAGAGAGGAATGTTAAAGCGGTTCAAGAAGGAATGATAAATAAGGGAGTGAACCTCAGGTCAACGTGCAAGCAAGTAAAGTAAAGTTGTGACTGTGAAGTACTATTCTGGCTGCAAGAACCTTTCAATAATAGAAAATCGAAGCACAGGCGTTGTTTAGTTTCAGTGATTAGAATCAGAGTGTAAATGTGTCGCCGATTTGATTCCAGGATTTCTTACGAAAAACCAAGAAGCACTACAATGCTGAGCTGGAGTCTGTGGACTTCAGCGGCAACTCAGAGGCAGCCAGGGTCAACATCAACAGCTGGGTGGAGGAACGAACTCAAGGTGGGTCACAAACGCACAGCATGCACACTTACTGACATACAAGTCTCCTTCATCTGTTCTAACATAGACCCGAAACATCTGCAGATGCAGTTACCACATCATATTAATGTTATTAACAGTTGCTTTTTATGCAGAGAGAGCTGTATTTGCAAATGTTTTTACACAATAAACAGAGCTGGAAATGCAGGACTGTTAATAAAGTAATCGACTTAATGTGTGCTAATTTCTATTTTGCCATGTGTGACGTTGCTTCACATGTGTCAATTCTGTTCACCAGGTAAAATTAAGGATGTGTTGGCCAAGGGTGTGGTGGACAGCTTGACCAGGTTGGTGCTGGTCAACGCCATCTACTTCAAGGGCAACTGGAACAAGCTGTTTAAGGAGATCGCGACACATGACGTTCAGTTTAAAATCACCAAGGTAACACTACAGCAGAATAGACACAGATACATAAAATAAACCAAAGTCTGTCTGCTTAATAACTGTGTGGTACTGCTGAACAACTTTGGGAAAATTGTGATTTTTCCGACAGGTGTAGCATCTAATTTGAGATCTGATTGTATTTTTTTTTATAGTCAAGCTTCAGTTCAATATTCACTGGATAACAAATTTAAAACATGTCATGCAACGTTACCACATGAGATACCATCAAAGGTGTGATTTTCTAATTGCATTGTTTCAAACTGCGGTGTGAAATCCGTAGAATTTTCAGCCCTTCTTTAATATGAAATGCAGTTATTGCACATAAAGCCCCCAACAAGTGCATCCTGTACATCTTCAAACCACAGCTCAGTGAAGAGAAAACTCAAGAATACTGTTTAGAATATTGCTTATTTCTGAGGTCAGGGTAAAGGTTGAAAAAATGTTATTTTTAGTACACCTTCTTCATCCAAATTGTTGGAGAAAGTGTGAATAAAAGGAATTGAACATCAAGGTGTGGGCAGAAAACCTCACTGTAGTGAAAGTCTGATTACTTGGACT